CTATATGAAAATATGAACAAAAGCAGCAAATTTTGCTTTAGCAAAAGAACTAAATGAAAATACGAATAAAAGCACCAAATTTTGGTTGAAAGTCTGGCAGGACTGGGCTTTGGCGAGAGAATATGATGTTGACATTGAGAAGTATCCAATTTTGTCATGCTAATAATAAACAAGTAATCATGCGATGTTGCTCGTACAATTAGGGATTAATAGTACTCGTGATGTTTGGAAACTTGCCAAATTGGACTCGCCCCGGCGGCTCGTCCAATTTTGGCAAAATTTCCAAACATCACTCGTACTATTAATCCCTAATTGTACTCGCCATCGCATGATTACCTACACTAATCCCTGTGTGTCGGCTAGTGATTTGAAGGAGTGTACAAGTCATGTATGTTATAAATGGTAGAAGAACAATATATGTTAGTGAATATATGGATTAAATTAAAGTAACTCAAATCCAATTTTCTTTCAGATTCTCCGTAGGCTCATCAAAAAATGTCTATACCAGATGGAGAAAGACAAATTAAGGTCTATCGCCATCCCTGCTATTGGCACAGGAGCACAGCATTTCCCACGTCCGGAAGTTGCGAAAATCTTTTTTGAAGAAGTTACGGGTCACTTCATTGCCCGCCGTCAGATCGATGAAGTTCACTTCGTGGTGTTTGACCAGGCAACGGTAGACGCATTTCTAGGTTTGTCACGGACTCACGCTAGTTGTGTTTTTTTTTGAAGAAAGTAAAGCTTGACGATAGTAAACGTGTTGCCTTCAATCATAGTCAATAGAATAAGGTTAGGAAACTTGACACATATATAATATACCTTGCTGTCTCTCTTTTTGTCTTGTAGTCAGGCAGATAAAGGATCAGAATTATGGAAAACTTACTATATCGTGGGACGATTCCATTTTGCCTTCATATTATGCTCTGAAGGCTAGTAAGTACGTCCCTATATGTTGGCCGCGTTAAAATTTCTTGTGGGCTCCTGCCGACACGTTTTTCTTCGAATTTTGGATTAAACTCTATTACAGTTAAAAAATGTGAAATTTCTGATACATTTCTAATACAAATGACTTGTATCAATAGAAAGCTAACAAAAAAACTACATATAAGACATTTAAATGGTTAGTTGGGATTTTCAAGCGGTTTTCGACGTTATTGCCGTTTCAAATGTGAAAAATTAGCCGAAATGTCGCAAAATTCCTGGGCACTAGTCTGAACACACGCATTCAACAGCTCATAATTCAAGAAGAACTTGAAAAACCCGGGTAACCGTTTAAATGTTTTATATGTAATTTTTTGCAAGCTTTCAAATGATGTAAGTCATTTGTGTTAGAAATGTATTTGAAATTTCACATTTTTTAACTGTAGTAGAGTTTAATACAACATTCGAAGAAAAACGTGTCGGCAGGAGTCCACAAGAAATTTTAACGCGGCCAACATACAGAAACGTACTAACTACCGTTCAGGGCACAATATGAAGGCAAAATGGAATTGTCCCACGATATGGTAAGTTTTTTCCTTCTATCTGCCAGACGATAGTAAACGTGATATAATAGACCTTGTTGTCTCTCTTTTTGTCTTGGTTTATGAAAAAAAATGGTCGGTTCATCGTCACGTGTGTATTGTATTTTAGAGCAACCAATAGCTGTTTCCATTTAACCATTGTGTAATATCACGACTGGGTAATTAAACCAACACACTGCATGCTATTGGTTGGTTGGGCGACATGATTATCAATTTTCAATTTTCAAACTGATTATCAATTTCCCATTTGTAATGCAAAATGACTGAAAAACGGCAAACTTCGCAAGGCTATATTATCCGCATTTTACAACATTTCGCAACGAAACGTCGGAATATTACTAATTTAGTGATGCTCTTTCAAGCTGTGATGAAATTTTTGTCCAGGCATATCTAGATCAAATTTTCACTCATAAGGGGAAAGGTCTATTAAACTAAACGTTCACCATTGCTGTTTTCCGAGAAGAGATGTAAGCCTTTGCATTAGTCTTGTATGGAGCTTTCCGGTAATTACGTCACGACTAACACTGTTTTCAACTTTGGACCACCTTAAATGGAATAGATTTCAAGTTTGTTTCTCACGGGCTATGGTCAAAGAAGCAGAGCATCCTTCCAAAATACCTCTTGGCCCCTCGGCCTCGTTTTCGTGTTTAAGCTTATTTCCACATGTATTGGTCAAAATCCAAAATTATTTTTGATGCATGTGTTGAAGAAGGATGTTCTGCTTCTCTGACCAAGGCACGTGAGAAACAAACTTGAAATTCATTCCATTTAAGGTGGTCCTAAGTTGAAAACAGTGTTAGTCGTGACGAAATTACCGGAAAGGTCTATTCAGCTCTCGGCTGATTGGTAGGAAAGATGAATTACTTTTATTTTTGTTATTCTTAATAGGCGCAGTTCAGCAAATCAAATCCGTTATTTTATCGCTTCCGAGCAAGTGCGCTCCAGTACCATCGCCGAAAAGTAAAGTTATACCAAACGCAGGCAGTCCAAACAACGTTACTTTCACTGAAAAACTTGACGAATCGCTGGAACTCTCTCTTGGGACAACAAACCTCACCGAAGCTTATTTTACCCCCTGGGTCGTCACTCGTTTGAAACCGCCGATAATTGAAAGAAAATTTCACAAATTCAATCTGTCCACTAGCAGTAGGGAATACCAGAATGTCGAAACCGCATTCCACAAATCTGTTTCGAATCAAATTGTCCGCATCGAAAAAATACAAAACAAAGAAATTTATGAGTTGTATAATGTGAAACGCAGAGCAATGATGAACAAATTCGGCAGCAACTTTGCAGGCAAAGAACTGTGGCTGTTTCATGGCACCTCGCTTCAAAGTATAGACAAAATTAATGCCAATGGATTGAATAGAAGTTATGCAGGGACACATGGTAAGTATTTAAAGTATCCTTGACCATTATTTGATTGAAAGAGCAACGCGAAAGCGTCATCGTACATTAAAAATATTTATATAACCAAAACGGATTACTTCTTAATTGCTTTATTTATTTCTCTCTCTTTTAAGAGAAATACTTATAGAATATTACTGTCACAACATTCTTTCACACAAGTCTATTTACAACATTCGCGTTCTTGTTGTATTGGATATACAAACCCTCATGTTGTCAATATAGTGTACTTAAAAAATGATATTTCGTGTGAAAAATGAACCTAAATGAGATTTTTGTTCAAGATACAGCTGACTCCGACCATCATGATGATTATGAATTTGTGTATTTTAATTTGTGTATTTTTAAGAATTAAAATTCTTCATTAGGAATGCAAATTACAACAATAGATAGAAAGAAAACAAACGAGTTGGACTTGTGGTATTTTTCTATTAGTAATATACCGGTACATGAAAAAATTTCTCAGTTCAGCTGATTGGCTAAGAGCAGTACAATTTTTTCGAAATACTGTACAGTGCCAAAAATGAAATACAGTGCCAAAAATGAAATACAGTGCAAAAAATGAAATACAGTGCAAAAAATGAAATACAGTGCAAATTTCATTGACTATAAGATACAGCCATTTCTAGCAGAAAATAATACAAAAAATCCAAACATTTACAATTGACAAAAATGGCTGCGTTTTTAGTAGATCTTCTATTAAAATTAACTATTTCGCATTAATAAGTAGTATTACTTACTCGTGAGTTTTTCAAAGACTTCAAATTGCACTCGTCCTTTGGACTCGTGCAATTTTGACCGTCTTTGAAAAACTCACTCCGTGCATGTTTTTTTCCCAAATTGCACTCGAAACCATACAATTACCTCTACCTATACAGGGTGTATAAAAAAAAAGGTAATCGAACTTCAGCGCGCTATTGTATCTGAATTACTCTGCGTATGAACGAGATATTTTCACATTCGGAATGATCATGCTTTTAGCTGTTGAATGATATCTTCTTCATGCCAAATGGATAAAAAATGAGCAAATACGAATCCGATAAAAAATGTTAGTCAGATTCGCATATTTTCACCGTTGAGAGTTGGGTCAAAAACCATTGAAAATGAACCCCCATTAGGACTTAAGTTGATGAATTTCACTTCATTAAACTGCACACATATTCATAATTATTATTAAGTCGGAATAAATCTTAGCTAAGCTACGACACGTTCGTGATTAATTGCTTTTTCTTTTGTTATGCATTGTTTAATTAGGCACAGAGGTGAAAATATGCGATTTTGACTAACATTTTTAATCGGCCTCGTACATGCTTATTTTTTCTCCACTTGTCATGAAAAGCATGTCATTCAATAGCTAAAAGCCTGATCTTTCCGAATATGAAAACCAATTGTTCATACGCCAAGTAATTCACGTATAATAGCGCGCTGTAGTTCGATTACCTTTTTTTTATACACCCTGTACATGAATAGTGATGCTTAATTTTCTCTTTCTTCACTCTTCAGCCACGTCGTATGGCAAAGGTGTTTACTTTGCCAGAGATGCTAGTTATTCCTGCAAGCTGAAGTACTCACCCCCGGACTGGCGTGGGCTTCGCTACATGTATTACGCCAAAGTTTTGGTCGGAGATTACACACAGGGGAACTCTAGTATGATAGCACGACCCAGTATAAAGGATACTGCTTATCCGGACGAAACTTATGACTCTGTGGTAGACAACATTTCACACCCAAATATTTATGTTCTGTTTCAAGACTATGAATATTACACTGAGTATCTTATCACTTTCCGATAACTTAAAGACATCATAATTATCTAACTATATTTTTAAAGAAATATGAAGGTATAGAATAGAAATATAATATAAGAATATTGTAGAATACTACCTACAACTGATGTTCCATTATAAATTTAATAGCTTGTAAACAGAAGTATTTTGCTAGTTTTTATAGGTGAGATTTACTAGTCTTGATGCTGTATGTAATTTGTATGTAAGACAATAAATCAGTTTCTCCAACTGTTTCTGCCTGAAGTTTACTTTATTGCGACGAGAAATGAACGGACAGTCTCAAAATCACCTCAGTTTTATAAAAGGGATTTTTAAAAGGATCGGGAAAAACGTTGGAATTGAGCTACGGTATATTTCAAGTTAACTGCAAAATGAGGATGTATCAGATTCTCGCCTGGACCATTGGGGTCAGAATTGTATTTAAATCCAGTTTATTACTGTCGATGCAATGGAAGTGTTGATAAAATATTGCATGAATTCATTTCCTCAAGTTGATCAATTCATACGAATTCAAATTTCTTTTTACTTCCTGTGCGTTTCCTATTGGTCAATTGGTTCTGAAGCGAAATCTAATTGGCTCATCTAAAAGTAACTGGAAGTTGATCAATTTTCTATCAAATGAATTGATCAACTTGAGGAAAGGAATTGGTGCAATATTTTATCAACACTTCCATTGCATCGACAGTAATTAATATGGAAATTGCCCAAAAATTTTGAATAATACCGAAAATCCACCTCGCAAAACACAATTTTGCGATGCTGACTCGCAGAATCTATGTCATAGCGGAGTCGCTCGTTCGCAGGCACCAACCGAACAATCGGCGATATTTTTTTCGGTAGGTCGCCGAATTGCGCCGCCAAATGTAATAGAAGTTACTGTTAATTTTTCAAACAAAGTTTACAGCAAAAGAAAAGTTTATTATTATTTGGTTTAAAATATATTTCAGGAAGTATGTCTTCCAACAACGGGGATTGGCAATCATTTGCCTTTCGACAAAAAGTTATTTTGAACATGTAAGTCACAATCAGTAAAATATAAAAATGTCATATTTTACAACATAATATTTATTAATTTATATACTGTATGTATAAAGTGTCAACTATGAGACTGATTCATACCAAAATCAGGCAGGGCTATGTCATTTATAGGAAACAAGTTCGCCTATTTAAACTGGTTGATTGTGGATCTTGGGTTAATTAACCGGGTTGGCTATTTTTCTAGCTAGCCAGAAGCAATTTTTTACGAAGTGACTATATGACCGGCAGCCGGTCATGGTTTATCAAATACTAAATGGCCGGCAGTACAGTCACTATAATTAAAGTTGTATTTTTATAAGATAAACCAATCCCCAACCCCTTCTCTAACCCTAACCCCTAACCTTTTGAGAGTTAGAAAAGCCGGAAAAAAAAGTTTAAAAAATTTTAAGAAAAAACAATGCTAAGTCAGACAAAACACATCCCGACTGTGCTTCACTTTCCGCATGCAGCGCCTTTTCTGAATACACCTACAGCAAGCTCGTAAAAGTTAACACAAACAAAAGTTTTTATATTTAATTGTAGTCACTAGACTGCCGGCCATTTAGTATTTGATAAACCGTGACCGGCTGCCGGTCATCACTTTGAATTTTTTAGGGACAATGTTTCTGACCTTGGCCCCTATTTTATTGTTTTACTCTGTCTAACACAATGATGATTTTACCTGAAGGGGAAAATTCTTGGGCTCGATGTTACAATAATTATAGTAATTCAGGAAATCTTTAAATTTAGTGAGGATGCTTTGAAAAAGTCTGCAAACAAAATTGGTTCACAGAATGAAAAAAGCGCAGCAGAAATTGAAGACCAAATATTTGGGAGATCTGCCAGCAGGGTAAATATTTGTATATTGTTTTCATTCTCACAGTAATAATAATAATAAATAAATATTGAAAAATTTAAAAAAAAAAATTATCAGGCAATCATCGTCCTTGCCAGTGGCATAACTACTATGAGCTCTGACCGAGTGAACCCTGTTGCCCCCAACAGGCCAAATGGGGGCCCCCAGGCTCAGGCTGCAGTAGAGCAAAAACATTGGCCAGGGTCTCTTATATGTCACAATGTCTTTTCTGATCATCAGAATTCTGTAAAATCTCACCCCAAAGTCTGGGAAATGGCATTTCAGAGAGTCTAGATTCAAAATTTTCTGGGTGAGCATGCCCTGGACCCCCTAGAAAATTTGTGCATACACGGCATTCGACTCGTGCCTTTGGCACTTCTACTAGGGGGCCTTCGACAATTTTGAACTGGAGGCCCCCTGATATAACGTTACACCACTGGTCCTTGCCAGTCTATATAATTAGCATAATTACCTTAATGTTTTAGACTTGTCATTTAACAGTTCAGTTACTCATTTGTTTTGATATAAATACTGAAAGTTAGAACAATTTAATTGTTTTTGTTTTCTCAGGATAATTACATGTCCATGGTTGCTCGCATCATTTTGCATTGTCAGCAAGGTAATCAATGTTTGTTTTAGCCAGATGATTTTGTTTGTCAAGGGAAAATTAAGTGTTGGGTATATATTCATGTGTCAACCAGAGATGTAGCGATATTTGTTCATGAGTAATTTTAGGTGAATTTCTAGGTACCGTAATTCGAACATGGATGATAAACGTAAACCAAAGCTAAGAAAGCTCCAAATTTTAGTTGCGTTTCCAGGCTTTCTGGGGTCTAGCGTTCCTGTAAGGAGAATACCTGCATCTTCTGCTGTAATTAGTTTCAATATGATTTGTTCTTCAGGAGGTCAAAACCAACCACAGCCTGCACCAACCATGAACCAAGGACCAATGACACCCATGATGCCAAACACCAACATGCAGCAATCTGGACAAATGATGGTTTCTGATCCAAATGGTAGATACAGTCAACTAACTTTATTTATACTGGATAGCTTTATCAGTTCTAAACTGTTTTTAATCCTAGAACTCCACGAAGACTAGTCATCTCTTATTGACCCATATTTTGTTACTACAGGAGGAAACCTAAACTAAAGTAACTTTATTCATACTGGATAGCTGTATCAGTTCTTCTTTAAAAGGTCCAGTAAGAACAATTCCTTATGGTCCAGTGTTATTACATGAAGAAACCAAGTACATATGTTATCAGAAATTTACTGTCGTTCCAATTGAAGTGTTGCTAAAATATTGATTCAATACATTACCTCGGGCTGACCAATTCATTTCATCAAATTCCTCGGGATATTCAATATACACTTCCTAGTATAATTGTAAACTTCCTGTTGAATAGTTTGAATGCACCAATCACCTTTGTTGTTTGTGCAACTAACCAATCATAAATAGAAAGGAAGTGACCAGAAATGATCAAATACTTGGAATTAGCTCTTTCACAGGAAGTGTATGAATATCTCGAGAAACTTGATCAAATGAATTGGTCAGCCCGAGGTAATATATTGAATCAATATTTTAGCAACACTTCAATTGGAACGACAGTAAACCTCATGTGATTTTCTTTGGTTGCATTTTAGCTCTCAGAGCAGATAGTCATCTCCTGCCCAAGGTAAAGTACTGACCTTGCTATTTAACAAATTAAGTGGCAATGCACCCAGCTTTATTACTTTATTCTGTCTAATGGCAGATGATTTTACTCCTCAAGGGTGGAGTGCTGCCACTCAATGGGTTAAACACAATGGTTCTGTGTAGGTAGTATTCTACATGAGACTGCTGTGGTTTGTGTCTCAACCACTAATGTAAAAAGTATTTTAATTTATTTTTAGATGTTAGCTCAACAGTCACCCATGAGTGCCATGTCAACACCATCCCCCAAAATCCCTTTATATCAATCACCATCCCCTGCCCCAGTACAACAAGGTACCAGTATGTATTAAATTTTAATATTGTCAATTTGATAATTTTGCCATGATCAGATTAAAACATTTTTTTGACAACCATGAACGTTTCGCATGACAATCTGTCACAGCTCATTCTTAGATGAAATTGATGGTGGTTCTAAATTTCTAATGATATCTAACTCTTCCAGTTAAACAGACCAAGACGTCAGGAGTGAGGAGTGTACAAGTTAGTTCAAACTCTGCCTATCCATCACCATCCCCTATCATCCCCTCTCCTAGTCCGGCTGGCCACTCGCCTGCCCCTGCATCATCACCAGCACAGGTAAACCATGCTATTGTTTTTACATAAATAACATGAATAGTAGAACTGATATTAGCCTGCAGGGCGGCAGATTCAATGCCTGCCAGAAGGCCTATAGACCCATTGCACTGACGTCACAAATCCTTAGAGTGTCCTCCAGATGCTCCCTAACAATATCTGTTCGGGTACAAAAACCACATACAGCGCAAAAATTAACCATTTTAATACAAAATTATTATAAAGTTTTGCAAAATTTGCTTTGTTTACAAAAGTTATATTATGCATAGATTGCTAATTTGTCCTCCAGATGCATCGTCACCAGTGCTGTGACGTCATGTGCAATGGATCTATAGTTGCATAGGCGTACCGGGCGGGGTGGCGGGGGGGCTACCGCCGCCCCCCCCAGTTTTTTGGGCAGTCGGGCAATATTCGATTAACAGTCGGGCAATTTTGGGTTGTTATAAAAAAAATCGGACAAATTCTGTCATTTTTTTTCAAAAATTTAGTCAATTTTGTGGCAAATGTAGTGTTTTTTTTTTAAAATGTATGTGATTTTCCGAAAAACTCACTGACCGAAATTTTTGTTGGCGACGGGGGGGTGGGGGGGGGTTGCAAAAAAAAATTTTCCGGGAAAAATTTTTTGGTACTAGTCGGGCAAAATCACGAAAAGTCGGGCAATTTTACGAAAAGTCGGGCAATTTTCTTTCCGCCCCCCTAATTTTTTCCTTCCGGTACGCCCATGTATAGTTGTATTTTTCCAACTGTTCCTGCTTATGTCTAAAATGTGTAAAAATTTATATTCGAAAAACCCATACACCTACTATGGACCTATTACCTAATGAGCAAAATTTTGATCTAGACAAGTCTGGACAAAAATTTCGTCACAGCTTGAAAGAGCATCACAAAATTATTAATATTCCGAAGATTCGTTGCGAATTGTTGTAAAATGCGGATAATATAGCCCTGTGAAGTTTGCCGTTTTTCAGTCGTTTTGTATTACGCACGGGAAGTTGATACCGCTTTCTGAAAAAAAGGTATCAATTTCTCGTGCGTAATACAAAACGACTGAAAAACGGCAAACTTCGCAGGGCTATATTATCCGCATTTTACAACATTTCGCAACGAAACTTCGAAATATTACTAATTTTGTGATGCTCTTTCAAGCCGTGATAAAATTTTTGTCTAGACTTGTTTAGAGCAAAATTTTGTTCATT